CATCAGGAGATAGTCTCCTGATGAAGTCCACTGTGTGGACGAAAGCTAGAGAATAAATTATATATTGTTAGTCTCAAAAGTGCTGCTGTTTTTTACTTTAATTTTTCAGTGCTTTATTTTTATTTTTATTTCAGGTTTTCAACTTCTAAGCAAACACTGTCATGGGTACCTGACTCTTTTTTTTCCAGGTAAGATATTGCATGTAATATAAAAGATAGAATCATAGCATGTTAACTTCAATGCATTTTCATCTTCAACAGATGATTCTTTACCTCAAATCTTCTGTTAATGTCATCTGATACAGTAGAATTTTAGAAAAAGCAGTACAGTATTTAAGGCACCATCTACAGAATAATGACCCAATGATGATTAAAGTTGGTCAACATTCCTAGAAAACTTATTAAATCAATTTAATTTACATAATTAATTTCAATAACTCTTTTCTTCATACTTACTGTAGTCTTCTAAGTGGTCGTATATCTTCTATGAGAGATGAAGAAGGAGCAGTAAGTGACTCTAATTATATTAATACAAATCTGTGAACTTTAAACTTTGACATGTACAATTACATAATTTTTCCTTAATTATTTTTTATATTAGTTTGACACATTCCTTTGCTTGTGATCATTTCAATAGATATTTATTGACCGAGATCCTGTAGTGTTCGTTCCAATTTTGAATTACTTGCGTACCAAGGATTTGGATGTGAGGGGGGTAAATCTAACGACCTTAAGGCATGATGCAGAATTCTATGGAATATCCCCACTTGTGAAGAAATTGTCATTGTGTGAGGATCTTGGTAGATCAACCTGTGGTAATGTGCTCTTTCATGGCTATCTCAACGCTCCATGTAAGTAGTACACTGAAAATTTTGTTAAATATCTAAATTATAATAATGGCTATGTTCTCACACCGCAGCTAACGGTTTGCAGGATCCGGATCCTGCTAACCGTTAGCTGCCATGCGAGAAAATCCCGATCCGGATACCAACAATATGATGATCAAATCACTGGCCAATAAGAAACTGGAAATTGTAAACGCGTACGTTGATTGGTTGATGATAGAAACGCCCTCAACTTGCTAACCGATAGCGCTTGCTAACCATTAGCGTATCCGGATACCGCTAACGGTTAGCGCTAACCGATCGGGCGGTCTCACGCAGGTGCTAACGGTTAGCGCTAATGGTTAGCTCCCGATCCCGTGAGAACCAGGCTTATATGTATATAATGCAAATACACAACTAATGTGAGAAAGATAAACTGATGTAATGTATATCCTAACAAATCCCATTATAGGTTTCCCGGCTCGTAGTGAGCACCGAAACAGTATCGCAACAGAAGCAGAGCTACATTCCCGCCCAGGATCAGCCCGCAGTTTATCTGGACGAGACCACCGCCCTGTATCTGCAACTGAGTACCCGAAATCGGACATTGAAATGAGTTTAAGTAAGCCTCAATTGGAAGATACTTAAATATCTTTTTTCTTCTTAAGCCAAATTCTATATATATATATATATATATATATATATTGTAGTTATATTT